AAAAGTTGCCAAGTTGCCCTTTAAAATATCCCTCAGTGCGTTTAATCCTCCATTCAAGCCGAATGTTGAATGTGGTGCACATACTAAATGGTACTTTAAGTTAAAAGTCTCTGTTTTTGTCTCTATCAAAGCTTCCTCGTTCTTTATTTTCATCCATTAATGGAGACTTTAATTTTTTTTTTTACAGCAAAATGTAAATGGTTCTTTTCTTTCCTGTATGTCTACTTTGAGGGGTAAAATAATGGCACTCTGTGTATATGTATTCTGTGTATATGTTTAGTTTTACGTGAATTTTACTACTGACCACAAGTGCTGAAGAGGGATGGAGGTCAGGAGAGGCTGAGGGATTTCATTTTTACTTTTTCTCAAAGAAAAGATTGTTTTTAGATTCAACAAGTCCTGTCTTATCCTCTTCTGCCTCCCTCCCTCTGTGAGCACTGGCTGCCTGTCTGTCTGATTATTCCCCCTCACACACACTTTGTAAACTATCATCTATTTAAATTGAATTTTAACAACTTTTTCTTTTGTGGTTATTTAAGTTTTAATTGATGGAAAAAACTATCTGTATCCATTCAATTAACGATTTGCAGAGCGTTAAAGGTTTTCATGTATAAAGCTCATTATGAATTCAGTATCTTTAAGCATTTTAATGTGCATGAAATTTAATGGCGCTCTGCTTTGTCTTGATCCAGGGTTTTTCAGGTTGAACACTATAAAGAAAGCAACACAAAGACAATAACTGTTATGAAATTGTTAGTTTAACTTACATTAGTAGGACAGCGACAACAACGTACACCCACTGGGGTCAGCACTTTCTTTAAATGAATACACTGACCTTTTAATCTCTGATATTTTAACAGTTAAAGATGGCCAGACTGTTCACCTTTGGCTGTCCTGCACTCTGTGTGCCACACTGCACTACAGTATGTAAATGTTGTGCTCAGCTGTCTCATTTCGGACGCTAATGTATACAGTGTGAGTATTTACTTTATTGGGTGGAGGCAGAGGTGAAACTGCCACCAGTCTTCTCAAATCAAAAGGTTTGTTTTCTGAAAAAAGCTGATGCATTCCTCGCAGGCTGTCTGCTTTTAGGGTCAAGGTGGTCCAAGCCATTCCAAGTCCAGTGGCAAATATTCAGAGTAACATTTGTAAGATTTGTACATTATCACCAGGTACTCAGAGGGTTTTTTCATTATGTTTGAGGTGAAAACGGCTATTTTGGTGCAACCCCTTTCAGCTCTTTTCATGTTTAAATGCACTTTTACCATTCTCTTGTTTCTGTTGCTTGTAAAAGTCTATTGTTCCTTTGACATGGACATCAATACAACCACATGATTTTTACTTTTTGTGTGAACAGCAGTTGTTTAATTTTACAAGGTTTTGTGGCCATTTGCAAAAGAGTCGTTGAGCACATTTTGACAGGAAAGAGTTTTTTTCCTTTGCAGTTTGAGCTTTTTTTTGTATTTGGTACTATTTGTGTTAACAAAAGCGTTTTTTATACTGTGTGTTAAAAGTCATCACATAAATGAGAATGAAACATTTTTTACCACTTGCAAAAACCTTTTTCCTTAAATAAATAAATAAATTGTGTAACTAAATTGTTACCAAACACGTTAAATCTAACAAATGCAGGCAGGAGTCACATTTCTACACAAAAGTTTTTGTGTAAAGCTGCAATATAATAACTGCACCTACAGTACAGTTATATACTGTATTATAGTTTCAGACTATTTCCACAGGTGCTAATATATCAGGAAAAGATATAATATATATATGTCTAATGTGTAAAATACCACAAACCACAAGTATATCAGATATTGTAAAGTCTTTGACCCTATTCTATAGTAAAAATACAGATTATTGGTTCTAGATGGCAGTCAGTAACTTTAAAATTAAAATAAGATCCGGAAAGGAGTTTGACCTTATAAGAACTGACACCAGTGTGATCAGTGAACTGTTAGCTCTGAGACTGGAAAGTAGTGGGATATGAAAGGGCTGCTTTTAATACTGGATCGTTAGACATAATGACTCGTATGCTCCAAAATACAGATCAGTTTGAAAAAACTAAATACCACTACTACTGAGTGTTTGAGCCTCTTCCAGGTTTTTGGTTACTGTTTTGAGTCTCAGTGCTCTCATGAAGTCTGTTTCTGACTGCAGCTGTTTCAATAAACTCAATGCGCTCTACACGTGAAGACAAAGTTAACAATTAGTTGGTAAAATAGAGGCCTGTTTAACAGCTAAAAAGAGAGATATTTTTCTCAGGTGTTGGAAACCAAACAGCTCAAAGGAAAGTGAATACTGGACCATATGACAAAATGAATGCTAATGTTGCTAAGTGTTGTGTATATAAGCAACTGTTTGCAAAGGTTTATCACTTTTATCTCATGGATTAGTATGAGGGTTTATATTCTATCTTTGGGTAATGCTATCTGTGATGCCTTCCTTTACATACTAGCCCACATATGCTAAATCTACAGCATGTGCACTGTAAACATATCTGCTACCTACCAGTCACACAGTTAACTCTGAGTCAGTCTTTTGTCAGATTTTGTGCAAAATAGGTCAAACTCCTAAGAAGCCAGTATAGCCCCTTAAAACATAATAATGAGACAAGATATCAGTTTTAATCAGGAACCATGACACCAAAAAGGCCAGCATTAGTTCTCTTTCCTCCGGTTCATGCTTAGATTTGGCCTGTGCTTCTTTGGCACACGGAGAGAGAAGCGCAGTCAGTATGCTAGCGCCATTAGCAAGTTTCCTTCCCACCAGAATGGAGCCTGGGGGTTGTTTCTTGTCAGCCGTGAGCTTTAACCTCTGTTATTTCTGTCCTGTTTAGGTTGAAAACACTCATTTGAAAGGACACGCACAATATCATTCTCTGACACAAACACGGCAGCGTACCATTAGACACTACGCTCACTTCAGCATTACACACACAAACACTCCTTGACTTTACTTTTATTAGACATTTGGTGTGACTAGTCTGCCTCAGGCCCACCCTGAGGACTCTGGCTGTCATGTCTTCTCTCCCTCTTCTTTTTTTCCCTCCCTCTGTCTACCCCTCTGTCCCATTTCCATTCCCTCAGTTTCACCAAATAATGAGACCATCTTTTACTTTTGGATTAGTTAAATTATGTAAAAGCAGCAGCAGCAGCATTGTTTGTACACTTCAGATAGTGAAGGAAGCATGCATTAGAGACCATATGTACTGAGGTTTGTTCACACTGTATATCTAGTGTATATTATGATTGCTGGATATAAAGGGAATACTATACAATGATCCAGATGTAATATTTTATTGTTACTTCACAATTAATAAAAAGTATACGACTGAACATTCAGTGATAAACTTCCTTTACGGAGCTGAACCTTGGCTGTTTTTTGTGCGTGTGATGAAGACTTGAACACCCCCCCGCCCCCCCCCCCCCCCC